TGCATGTTCGAGATACAGGTGATCACGGACGCACACAGGGCAAAACATAAGTCCCCGTTTTCGGACTGCGTCCGAACGGGGACTAATAATAGACTTGTATACAGTCTCTTGTATGGTGTATTTTCAATAAAAATAATTGTTTCACGGTAACCCAACTTTCGCCATTTATTCACTCACATAATATTTTATTTTATTAGAAAAAACAAATTTCAAAAAACGAACAAGACTGTATGCAAGTCTAAGGAAATGTTAAATGACAAATTTTAAAATTCAGAATTCATCTTGAACTAGCCCACTGTATATTAAATTAACTTAAAGGTTTACAAGGAAAGTGGCAATATATATATTTTTTGCACAACCTTCACACACTTCATGGTGCCCATGGCTGAGCATTCTTCATGAGATTGATTGAAGTAATTTACATCTGAAGTCAGCGACCACCATTTTATACTGCTCTATAGAGGGACTGGTGAACAAAATAAAGTTATTCAGTGACCCTTATTGTTTTTAGATTTATGTATCTTTCAAAATGTGGCATTTACTTTGCAATTTTCCCCCAACCTTCTTAGAATTTTAATTTTAATTTTGGAGTGTAATTGAAGTTGCTTTCCAGCTTTGTATGATGTACAGAAAACCTTTTGTGACCCCTGTAATAACAGTAAGGGCTTTTAGATAGTTCAACAGAAACCGTATCCAACAGAATCCTGAAATTGGAGTTAGATGACACTCTTAGTTAAAGTATCATTGAGTGATGACAATAATAAAAGTGTGTAAGATTTGATGATAAGAAACCACCCCCTTCAGTACAAGTTGGCTTCAGTATTACGATATTTCAGGATTCATTGTCATAGCAACTGATTTCATCATTTTCTTGGTGATCACAATATTCAGTAGAAGGTGTTCTGCATATAATATAAAGTAGAAATGCAGCAATTTAGTTCCAAGAATTATTCATTTTAGTTGGCCACATTATTTTAAATTGATGATAATTTGTTCCTTTCATAGTATGGGTGGTGCTATAGCTGTACATACTGGTGCTCAGAATATATTACCAACACTAATTGGAATTGTCGTCATTGATGTTGTAGAAGGTAAAATAGTACAACGTACCTCAGTTATGTGTCTGATATGTTGCTAGATAGTGAATCAATCATAAAACCCATTCTAGTTTCCCCCTACCTAATCTAGTCAAGGTAGAAGCCTATTCCTAAATGCCCAGAATTTATTTTGAAATAAATTATATTCCAGGGCAATATAATATTATTGACTTGCAAAAAGTTGGAGATCAGCAGTCATTTTTTGAGAAAATGATTTCCTTCAGTTTGAATGGTTCTTTTACTAGCGAATTATCCATTAAATTGTAGTTACCAGGATGTTATTGCAATATTTGTAAACAGCGCCACCTAGTGTCGGCCATTGTAAATTAGTTCAACAACACCCATCAGAACACATTTCCCAACCATTTCTACATACATGTATATCCACTTAGTATGTTGAAGCCATTGTAAAGATTATCAGTGTTCTTGCTATTCAATTTGAATTGGATTCTTCTATCAATACCATATTTACTAAAAACATAACTCCACTAGATTTGGAAGTGCTTGTAAACCAAAAACTACATTTATTTTATGCTAGATATGGCTAATTTTGACCGTAGACTTCTTTTATTTTGACAGTAGACTTCTAATACTTGTAGTTCTGCTTTTTGTTTCTGTATGACAGGTACAGCACTAGATTCACTACGCAGTATGCAGTCATTTCTGAGTAGTAGACCTGCCCAATTTAAATCATTGGAAAATGCCATTGAATGGAGGTAATGTTACAGTAGTATTTATCACTTTAAAACAATAATAATAATTTTAATGACTTACTCATAGTACCATATAGAATGAGATGGCTGATACTATGTGAAATAGTGTATGAACAAGGTACCAATGTTTTCTGCTTAAAATCAAAATGCATTTTAGATCCAAATCCATAAAAGCCATTTGAAAATGGTTGTTTTCTGTGTTTGTCGCATCGAAGCATTCTTGTTATGTGTATCCCTTGTGAAAATTGTCTACATTCATCAAATCATGTTATTTTACAGTGTAAAAACTGGTCAAATACGAAATATTGAATCGGCTAAAGTATCAATGTCAGGACAACTAAGAAGGTAGGAATTCAGTAATACATTAGCACTAGACATACATGTAGTGTGCAGCAATGGACATAGTGTGCAGCAATGGACATAGTCTGCAGCAATGGACATAGTCCGCAGCAATGGACATAGTCTGCAGCAATGGACATAGTCCGCAGCAATGGACATAGTCCGCAGAAATGGACATAGTCCGCAGCAATGGACATAGTCCGCAGCAATGGACATAGTCCGCAGCAATGGACATAGTCCGCAGCAATGGACATAGTCTGCAGCAATGGACATAGTCTAGAGCAATGGACATAGCCTGGAGCAATGGACATAGCCTGGAGCAATGGACATATTCCGCAGCAATGGACATAGTCCTGAGCAATGGACATAGTCTGCAGCAATGGACATAGTCTGCAGCAATGGACATAGTCCGCAGCAATGAACATAGTCTGCGCAATGGACATAGTCTGCAGCAATGGACATAGTCTGCAGCAATGGACATAGTCCACAGCAATGGACATAGTCCACAGCAATGGACATAGTCCGCAGCAATGGACATAGTCCGCAGCAATGGACATAGTCCGCAGCAATGGACATAGTCCGCAGCAATGGACATAGTCCGCAGCAATGGACATAGTCCGCAGCAATGGACATAGTCCGCAGTAATGGACATAGTCTACAGCAATGGACATAGTCTGCAGCAATGGACATAGTCCGCAGCAATGGACATAGTCCGCAGCAATGGACATAGTTCGTAGCAATGGTGATGTCAAATTATACTTACAAATTGACGTGTTTTGAAACATCACACCATAGAGTAAAAGAAAAGGAGCAGGATTCAGTGGATGCTGTAACTGAGGGTACCTCCAGAGTTACTGGTACAATTACTGAAGAAGAGGAAGAAGATGGAGAAAATGCAACAAAATCATCACAATGTACAACTGTGAAAAAAGTAAGTAAAATATATCTTTTAATTAAAATACATTGGGAATGCAGTAATTTAATGATGCTTGTCTGTGTGCTCTGATATTGTACCACTGAGAATCACTTGGGGAGATGAAATATGGTAAACTGGTACAATATGTATAGGGTAAACCAAGCTTTTGCTTCTCATGAAATCAATAAAACATAATACATATATTCTTTAGTATATATTTATATATTTGAATTTGATTATTTATTTATCTTTAGGGAAACAAGGACCACTACACTTGGAGGATTGATTTATCAAGAACAGAAAAACACTGGCAAGGTTGGTAATTCTTATGTCAAGAATCATCTGATTAAGTATGTGTGCTGGTTCTCATTTATACTATCATAACTATAAACTTGATTCTACTTTACAGGTTGGTTTAAAGGACTTTCATGTCTGTTTCTCTCATGTGATGTTCCAAAGATACTCGTATTGGCGGGTAAGTAACACTTCATTATGATAATACACTAGTCTGTTACACTGCCCACAATGTTGGGGACGGTTTAGTTGGAATTTTTGTTTAGTATTTTGTTTAGTTTTTAGTCCTCGTTTCAGGTGCAGCCTGAAAGGCGGACTATTAATTATTATGTAAATTTTCCATCTGTGACGTGGGTCTTTTTCATGATTTTCATCCAAAACTACCTCGCCCAACACCACTGAGAGAACAACTGAGCATGCTCAAAATAAATTATTAACTTAGATTGTAATGCTAGAGTTTTTAGTGATGTCACGACCTGGTCATGACCTTGATCTGAATCAGTGAGATGGGTCGTACCATTACCAATCTCAATGGAAACTGTAGAGGGGTGTCAGGGCTACATTTTGATGGGAATTACTGTAGTGATAATGAAACAAACCCAGGTCCTGGTAATATACAAAGACCTGAATTAACAAAGAAGTCAAGTTGTTATTTAAGGTACATCATGGTTTACTCAGATTTATGAATGCAGTTTCTTGAGCATATATAAGGCATAGTTTGGTTGCACTTGTGTACTCTGAGATTTTGGACCTGAGTCAATGAACGTTTTCAGTTATCAAATTAAGAGAAATCACTTTATGATGAGTTGTACGCACACAGAGTACATATTACCGATAATTCAATTGTTTGCAGATGTTCCATGTATTATTTTAACATGAGTATTTTATAATTAAATAACTGGGACTGTGACATTCATGTCTTGTTAATGCTAGGACAAAAAACTGAGTTTGATTTACTTTCGATGTCAGTGCAAGTTGTTTTGTAGGTGTGTTTTTGAGTCACATATATGGTATGTAACTTCTTACACGCTAAGATACTCCAAACAGAATAGACTATGTTTTCCCTATCACTACTTGCAGTTCATCCTTTTAGAAATACAAACATGCTTTGTACACAAGTGAAATCAATCATTTTTCTTTCATACAAATCCACAACAACAAAATAATTGTGTGTTTTATAGCTGTCATGGTAAGAGTTTGGTACATAACATTTTTGAAAGATAACTGAGAATTGAAGAAGAATTTACCACTTTTGTGGCGAAATAGAGGTTATTTATTCACACAAAACCTACTCTTATACTAGATATAATACAGGGTCCATAGCGTTGCGAAAATCATTTGAAAGTCTTTGCATTTTTTGAGGTCTGGAAAGTCTTTGAAATCTTTGAAAAGTCTTTAAATTTCTTCATAGTTATTAAGGTAGCGGGACTATTATTTGCATACTTGTTTTCATCTTCTAATTGTGACTAAATGACTACAAATAGACCCGGGAAAGTATATATTTTTAGAATCGCCAGACTTCAAGCTTTTCACAAGTGTATTTTGCATGCTCGTATCTGCAATCTACGACGCGTTACTCAATCAAAGGTGAAAAATTACTTTTTCTGTAAAAAAAATAATTACGCATTTATGCTGGCGATAAGAAGTATTTTTTTCACTTTTCCTAGTTGTTCAATAGTCTGGTAAATTGAATGTGTCTGGTTAGTTTTATTCAAGCAACGCGTTTTAAAAAATAGTGTCCTGAATTTCAATTACTGTTTTAGTCGCATTGCCCCCAACTCAAACCACAACTTGTTGGTAAATAATCGATGAAATAGTTTGTCTGGACACATTCAAGTT